GTGTTACTGGGACAGCTGCTGCAGGCTCATCGGCTTAAACTGCAGCCACGGGGGATCAAGGGTGGACATTCGGGAAGGTTTCTGCACGTAGGAGGGTGAGGGGTGAGAAGAGGTCCCTTGTAAGCTGGGCTATCTGCTGGGCTCCTCAGCTTTGTGCACGGGTGGGAGATCATCCTGCAGGTCCACCACAAACTCCTTTGGACCATCGCTAGAGGAATATGGAACCTCTGGAGTCTTAACCCAAGAGGGAAAGGTGTCAAAGCCTGGGCGAGGTGGGGACACACAGGGTCAGGCCTGGGACAGAGAACTGCAGCGACACACGTGCTGAGCTCAGGTAGGGCTGGGAACATCAGCTCCAGCGGGTGCCATGGGACACTGATGACCGGGGTCTGCTCAGTTGGGGCAGGTGAAGAGGAAAGCCAGAGGCCAGTGAGGAGCTCAGGCAGCGCTGGCAGCATGCAGGTAGCAGGCAGCGATACCAACCTGTGGCAGAGGAGCCCAGGGTGCGTCCAGGGTAAGCTGTTAGCAGGGGACACAGGGAGAGAGAAAAGGTACCGTGAGTCGAAGGAGGGACGCAGCTGCCTGGGACTGGCCCAGGCTGAGGAGGGAGCTGAAGACTTGACCCTGACCTTCTGGTGGCAGGAAAAGCCAGCACCGGCCACATTCCCAGCAGGAGAGAAGGAGTTACAGTCTGTCAGCAAGGAGACCTGCTGCTCCCAGGACAAGAACTGAACCCCACTCTGCCCTGCGCAGCGGGGATGTGGCCTGGGGGAGCAGCCCCCGCAGAGCTGCCCAGCACCGCAGCCCTCCTGCCCCGCATAGCCCAGTTATCGCCTTCCCCAGCAGCATTCACCGAGCACAGGGAGCCCAACAAGCCGTGGTTAGGACAGCAACCAACCCCCACAAATGTCCTGACCACCCCACTGGTGTGGTTACCCCTCCATCCAGCTCTGGAGTGGATGGTGGTGGCAACTGGAAGGTCATTCCCTCTACAGGCATGCTAATCAACACGTATACAGTTAATTAGGGTCACCAGCATGCACCACAAACTGGCATGACTTCACAGCAAGCTTCCCATCACCAGACTGGGAGAGTCCCTTACCCCTGAGCTAGGGACAGTCCCTACAAGGTGGCCCCGCTGTGACCAAGCACAGAGGGAGGAAGGCGGGACGTGCACACACCCACGCAGGACGGCAGAGCGGAGACAGGGGAGGGCGGCAGGCGGGGAAACGGAGATGGCACCTGCCCGGCTTAAACACACTGGGGAGGGTGTGGGGTGAGCTTTCTGGGATGCACCCCAACAATTCAGAGTCTTAGGTTGATGGTGGCAGTCACAGCTGCCCTGGGACAGGTGACACTCATCTACGGGTGGTTTTGTGAGCTGCAGGGAGCAGGACTCCTTAGATTACACCGGCTGGTGAGGGCAAGCGGAGCCGATGGGAAGGGAGACAAAATGGAGGGCGGCCGTGTAATGGAGGGGCGAAGGTGCTTGCCACGGCACCCCTCTAGATTGGCTTACACCTCCAAAGGTCACACATATTCCATGACAGGCCTGCCCCGCTGCTCTCCCAGCTGTCCCGCTCCTCCCAGCCAGCTGAGCCAGCAGCTCTGCGCCCTCCAGCCTCCCCCCGCCATGGGGGTGGGCACAGGGGGACAGGTCGGGGGCATCTCCCGGCTTGCAGGGGCACCACCGATGTGATGAACCCACTCAGGGCAGGGCCACCATACAGAGGAAGTGGCTGAGAAAGCTCCCCCGGCCCCACCATATCTTCACCAGCCTTGTAAAGTCAAGGGGGCTCCCTGCGCCCACCCTCTAACTAATTTGCAGGTTTCTCTAATGACACTGCTAATGAGGGATTGAGCAAAGCTGGCTCTGTGGGTACTAAAGGCAAACTGCTGGGCTCTGGACCTCCAGGATGAGGTGGCGTGTGCTAGGGTATGGTCAGGGTGTCAGTGGTGCTCGAGGAGTTTGGTGGTAGGTGAAACATCTCAGATGGGAGTAAGGCCAAGGCCTTTCGTGGCTGAGACAAGGGCTGCAGGTAATGTGACACAGTGTCCATCTGCCCTTCCCTGGTGGATCAGGAAGCTGTGACCATGGGTGACCAGCTCTGGGATTACACCTGCACTGCTGGGAGGGTGCCCCGTGGGACACAACAGAGTGTGCTGGGTGCCCGTGCTGAGAGCTGACCTCGGGGATGGACAGCTGTGGGGTGGTTGTTCCTCATGGTGAAGCAGAGCAGGCTATGGAGTGTTGTGAGATGAGGCTGTGAGGAACACCAGGAGCTGCTGTCTGTGGTGAGTCCTGCACAGCAGCTGGGTTTGAGAGGGTCTTGGGTTGGGAAAACACAAGGGTTGGTGGTTGTTTCCTCTGGAGCTGGGAGGGAGGAAGTCAGCAGTGGCCTGGGAAACACTTGCTTCTTCCCAAAAAGGGAGCAGGGAGGTGGTTGCTTGGGGATGGGATGGCTGAAGGGCAGAGTGGGACATCCTGAACAAGGAAATGATTGTGTGCTGGGAACTGAGGCTGAAGGCTGCATCCTCTGGCAGTGAACAGCAAAGCGAGGGTTAGAGGCTGAGAGCCCACCAGCTGCCCCTGGAATCCTGAATGTTCTCCTAAAGAGTGTCCCAGGTTGAGCTGACAGCACACACAGATGCTTGCGCTGCCACCAACACAGATCAAAGCAGCTTGGAGGGGAGGTCGGGGTGTTGCTGAATCTGTGAGTTCCAGGATGGAGACAGCTGGGACAGGGCATGGCTGTCATGGTGCCACTGCTGAAGAGGCTATGGGGATGTGCCCACGGGTGCCAACCCTACGGCTCCTGGTGCTCCTTTCCCAGACATCTGCGAGGGAGGGGACAGGCCAGCACGCTGGGTGGGTGACAGTAGCTGTGGGGTGATGGTTTGTGGAGCACCCCTCCCGTGCTGGCTGCAGCATGGTGTGTTGCTGTGACTCCCCCCAGTTGCCCCCACACATGGCAAGCAGATCATGGTCCCCAGCTGCTGGCAAGCAGCACAGAGCGAGGCAGACAAAGGCAGCGACACGGAACTCTCTGCAGGAGGCAGCTAGACAGGGCTTGTGTTTTACGAGACCTCCAGAACCCCTGTGAGTGGGTGGTGGATGATGTCCAGGGTGCTCTGCATCTTGAGGTGCCAGGACCTGGGCTGCTGATGAGCCTCTACAGCCCTGTCCCTGCCCCATGGGTCCCCCATGCTCCCACTGGCTCTAAGCTGGAGAAAGGCTGGCTGAGTATGGAGATGTTCAAGCCTGCTCACTCCACATCTGACATGGGTTTAGGAGTTATGTTCAGGCTGCAGTGAGGGTGCCTGTAAAACAGGGGTTCTGCTCTAAGGAGATGTGTCCCAGGGGTTTGTCCAAATGAATGTGGGATGTGTGTGCTGGTGGAGCAGAGTCCAGCTGCAAGAGGAAGGTCTGTGTGGAGGCTGCATCCTGGTCCTATCTCACCAGGAGGGAGGACGTGGCTCCAGGTGTGTGAGGCTGGAGATCTGGAGGGGGAGGCAGAACTTTGGGACAAGGAGGGACCCTGGCAGGAGGCTGCAGTGGGCATGCAGCCCTGGGACACAGGCAGCAGGGACTCCAGCATCCCGTCTACCCAACCAAGGCACTGGGGGCATCTGGCCCTGGCTCAGGACCTGGCTCACAGGAGAGTTACCCCACTGAACAGGGACCTCTGGTGTGGCCTTGTGCTTGGAAAAATGAGGCTGCTTGTGTCACATGGGTCTCAAGAGCTTCCTGTAGCTTATGAGCACCTTGGGGCCAGGGCTGTACTTTCCTCTTCTGGAGGGACACGTGTAACTGCTGGGGCTCAGCCCAAGCCAATGCCTGTGGCCACAGGGACCTGCTCACCTGATCCAATGTGTCTGTAATTGCCAAGGGCTGGAAACTCTAACTCCCAGGGTGAGTGAGGGCTGCTGAGCTTGAGGGATACCCTGAACACGTGGCTGTGTCCCATCCTGAGCAGGAAGAATGCCAGTTCCAGCCACCCCCGGGAAGCTCATCCCCAGCCTTGAGAGGTCCTGAGCTTCCTTGCCAAGCCTGTTTCACTGGGTCGTGATCTCTGCTTGGCACAGGGCATCGATGTTGAGCAGGTGGAGGACCTGAAGCAGGCAGGGTTCAAGGCTTAGCCTACACAGATGGTCCTGACAGCAGATGGGCTAAGGCAGA